CTGCAAATGGCATTATTTCATTCTTTTCATGGCTAGGTGATATTCCACTATATATATTCATATATATATCTCACATCCTTATCATTTCTCTGTGGATGGACACTCAGGTTGCTTCCATGTCTTGGCTGTTGTGAATAGAGCTGCTATGAACATTGGGTTTCACGTACCTTTTTGAATTAGAGGTTTCTTCGGATATATGCCGAGGAGTGTGATTGCTGGATCATATGCTAACTCTATTTTTAGTTGTTTTTCTTGTTTTTCTGTTTTTTTCTTGCAGTATGCGTCACTGTTGTGGCCTCTCCTATTGCAGAGTACAGGCTCCGGTCGCGCAGGCCCAGCGGCCATGGCTCACAGGCACAGCGCTCCGCGGCGTGTCGGATCTTCCCGGACCGGGGCACGAACCCGTGTCGCCTGCATCGGCAGGCGGACTCTCAACCACTGCGCCACCAGGGAAGCCCCTATTTTTAGTTTTTTAAGGAACTTCCATACTGTTGTCCATAGTGGCTGCACCAGTTTACATTTCCATCCACAGTGCAGAGGGGTTCCCTTTTCTTCACACCCTCCCCAGCATTTATTATTTGTAGACTTTTCGATGATTGCCATTCTGACCGGTGTAAGGTGATACCTCATTGTAGTTTGGATTTGCATTTCTGTGAGGATCCTTTTCAAATGAAAGTTCAATCCTGTCTCTGCTCTCCTCAAAGGCTTCCGGTTACTTGCATTGGCCTGGAAGCCCTTGGGATAATTGTCTCTTACGGGAACACAGAACCTGCTTTCTTCCACTTTCAAGTCTTCGCTCAAACATCACCTCGGGCACACTCTCAGCAACAGAAAACAGCCCCCGAATGTCACGTGTTCGCTCCCTGTCCGATGCTTCTGCAGACACATGTTACCATCAAACACACTCAATATTTTTCCGTATTTTTTAAAAATGTTTCTATCCTTCTTATATCCAGAAGGACAGCTTCTTGATGACAGAGATATAAAAAATTTCTTTATTGAAACGTAGTTATTTACAAAGTTGTGTTTAATATCTGCTGTCCAGCAAAGTGGCTTAGTTATTCATATACATATAATACATGTGCTTTTCCATATTCTTTTCCATATGGTTTATCACAGGATATTGACTATAGTTCCCTGTGCTGTACAGTAAGACCTTGTTTATCCATTCTATATATAATAGTTCACATCTGCTAACCCCAAACTCCGAATCCATCCCCCCCCGATCCCCAGGTAACCACAAGCTTATTCTCTATGCTTGATGACAGAGAATTTTTTTTTTTTGCGGTACGCGGACCTCTCACCGTTGTGGCCTCTCCCGTTGCGGAGCACAAGCTCCGGACGCGCAGGCTCAGCGGTCATGGCTCACGGGCCCAGCCGCTCCGCGGCATGTGGGATCTTCCCAGACCGGGGCATGAACCCGTGTCCCCTGCATCGGCAGGTAGACTCTCAACCACTGCGCCACTAGGGAAGCCCGATGACAGAGATGTCTGATGCATGTGGTCCGGGAAGATCCCACATGCCGCGGAGCGGCTGGGCCCGTGAGCCATGGCCGCTGAACCTGCGCGTCCGGAGCCTGTGCTCCGCAACGGGAGAGGCCGCAACAGTGAGAGGCCCGCGTACCGCAAAAAAAAAAAAAAAAAAAGGAAAAACAAACAAACAAACAAAAAACAATTCAAGAACAAAAAGGCAAACAGTGCAATTTTTCCAAACGGCCAAAGGAATAAAAAAATTCTCCAAATGACCAATACGTTCATGAATAAAATGAACGACGTCATTACTCGCTCCATAAATGTAAATCAAAACATGATGAGATATTCCTTCACACCCACCAGCGGGCTCGAATTTTTTTTAAGGAAAATAATGTCGACAAGGATCTGGAGAAATTGGAACCCTCATATATTGCTGGTGGGAATGTAAAATGGTGCTGCCAGTGTGGAAAACATCTGCCATTTCCTCCGAAATTTAAAATTAGAAACTAACATTTGACCCAGAAATTTCAGTTCTAGGTACATGCCCGAGAAAACTGAAATCAATGATCGAAAAAAAATAAAATAAAAATAAAAAGGAAAAGTATAGCAACGTTCATAGCAGCATTGTAAGAGCCAAAAAGTGGAAACAACCCAAACGTCCATCCACTGCTAACTGGATGGAGACAAGCTGGCTCATCCGCGCAATGGAATGTTATTCAGACAAAAAGGAACTGATACTGATACACGCTCTACGGATGATGCTTGAGAACGTTTAGTGAGAGAAGCCGGACAGAAAAGAGAGAAGCCGGCCACTGTTTTGTAACATTCCACGTGTATGAAGTATCCACTATAGGCAGATCCAGAGACATGGAGAGCAGATCAGTGGTTGCCAGGGCCTGGGGAGGGGAGTGTGGGGAGTGACTACTTCATGGGTACCAGGCTTCTCTTTGGGGTGATGAAAACATCAGATGGATGGAATTAGGTAGTGGTGATGTTTGTAGAACATCGTGAATGTTCTCAAAGCCAACTATTGTATGTTTTAAACTGGCTAAAATGGTGAATATTATTTTATCTGATTTTTCCACAATAAAAAATAATGCATTTAGGGACTTTGCTGATGGTGCAGTGGCTAAGAATCTGCCTGCCAATGCAGGGGACACAGGTTTGAGCCCTGCTCTGGGAAGATCCCACATGTCGCAGAGCAACAAAGCCCGTGTGCTACAACTACTGAGCCTGCGCTCTAGAGCCCACGCACCACAGCTACCGTAGCCCGGGCGCCTAGAGCCCATGCTCCACAACAAGAGAAGCCACCACAGTGAGAAGCCTGTGCACCGCAACGAAGAGTAACCCCACTCGTAACAGCTAGAGAAAGCCCACGTGCAGCAATGAAGACCCAATGCAGCAAAAAAAAATTAAAAAAAAAAAACTAACCTTCTCTGAAAGCCACTGGGGAGGGGAGTTCAGGTCGTTTGAGTACGAACTACTCATTCTCCCTGCTTGGTGCCCTGCAATAAATGCTGTACTCTCCTTCACCACATCTTGGTATCAGTAGATTGGCTTTGCTATGCAGACCCAAGCTTGGTTTGGTAACAGAGTGTTGGTGGTTCTGTGTGGGTGTCTGGGGCATAACAGATGAGTAAGGGTCTTAGGTAACTGTTGGAAGCAGTTCACCCATTCATTCATTCACTCCTTCATTCATTCACTCAACAAACACAGAGTGAGCATCTGGTCTGTGATGAGTCTGGAGGCAAAGAGGAGACACAGCCAACTCTATTCATGTCCTGATGCTCCCCGCCCTGGGGAGACACAGACAAATCTGGTGGAGACCCTGAAGGTGGAAACACGGGCTGGGGCAGCAGGGTTGCAGGCTTCGTCAGCAGGTTGCTTTGGACACAAGTGATCAACTGGACATGGCCTGGACTCTGAGGGGACAAGAAGGAAGGTTCTCAGCTCTTGGACCCTGCTGTGGGCCCAGGGTCAATGAAGAGGCCAGATCGCCAAGAGGGTAGATCAGGGGAGGGGGGCTCTTCTCACCTCTTCCCTCATCCTCGCTGCTCATGGGACACCTGGCATTTCACAGTGCCCTCAGCTGGCCTTCAGGTCTTGCTCTATTTCCCACCTCCCTTCGTCCTGGGCTGACACTCTGTCATCCTGCCACTCCTGCTGGAGTCCACACCTGCGCTCACAATTGACCCCCGGTTCCCGCGAGAGGATCTGATGGGCTCGTTTGAATAATCCCACCGCTGATTGGGAACTTGTCTTAGTCAGCTCAGCTTCTGTCACAAAATGCCAACCAGGTGACTTGAACAAACACATTTATTTCTCACGGTTCTGGAAGCTGGCAAGTCCGAGATCGCAGTGTCAACAAATTTGGTTCCTAGTGAGAACTCCCTTCTTAGCTTACAGATAACTGCCTTCCTGCTGTGTCTTCACAAGGTCTTTCCTCATAGCATGCATGTGGCAGGGAGTGTGGCGGGGAGAGAGAGATTGCTCTTTCTCTTCCTCTTCTTATAAGGCCATCAATCTTAGGACTCCACCCTTATGCATTTATTGAATCTCAATGATCTTGGAAAAGCACTCTCTGAATAAGTCAATGCTGGGGAGTTAAGGCTTCAACATATGAATCTGCAGGGGACAACATCCAGTCTGTAGCATTCAGGTTCCATGGGGTCCCCACATTCCGTCTTGTCCTCTTCATAGGAAATTCCATACCTGTCACATGCAAAGAAAGCAAGCCACATTAGTAATTATGTTCTGCCTCTCCTCTCTCCACTGGAAAGAAATATGTCCCATTCGCCATCATCCTGGTTTCCGTGATGCTGAAAGCACAGCTATGTTTCCCAGGGTCCCCCAAGGAGTTGGAATCACCCCCTGAATCCCAACCTGCAGTATTTAGTCCAGGTGGGTTGTGGCCACAGGTACATCCTTACCAGGCTTGTCCCTCTTCTGGAACCAGTAGCCACAGGCAGGTGTGGATGCATTCCAGCCATCCCGAGGGTAGGAGATGGCGCAGGACACAGGGATGCACAAGCCCTCCTGTATCATCAAGGACTTATTCACTTCCAGCTGGAAATCCAGATGCTCAGCCTGAGGCCCTGGGGGTGACAGGCTTGACCTCAGCCCCCCGCCCCCATCCTACTTCCTCATTCCCAGATGGTAGGGGCAGCTCCAGCTCTGGAATGGGAAGGACCAAGCCCTTTTCTGGCGTCTATGTTCCCTCTTTCAAGGAACCAAGAGCGCTAAGACCAAGAGGAAGTCCTGAAAACAAGTGTGTGTAGGGGGAGGGGGAGAGAGGGAGGGGCAGAGAGAGAGAGAGAGAGAGAGGGAGAGATTGTGTGTGTTTGCAGAAGAGGAGTCTGAGACCTGCTCTCATCAGAGCTAGGCTGTCTTGGGAGATGGTCCTCACTTACTCATTTTTCAGAGAGACACTGCAGTCCAGAGAGGGCAACGGACAACCCAAGATACTTGGAAAGGCAAGATCTGCTCCCTCGTCTCCTGGCTGCCTCTCCACGTCCTGTCCTTTGGAACCTGCTTTGCATACCAGGGACCCAGGCACTCCCGGGCAGGCATCAGAGAGTCACTACTTTTCATCATGCTGGCATATTATTCCTGCTGGGGGTTAGTTCTGGAGTGGCCCGAGTTGGCTTTAAAGGCAGAAGAGTGTGGAAGAACCCCAAGTGAGCTGAGGGAGGAAGATTTTCACTCCTTCGTGTAATTAGCAATACAGAGTGAACACATTCAGTGCACCAGGGGCTGGGACTAAGACCTGGCCTCACCGCTCACTGTTTAGTGGGATGGGTCATAGGCAATTCCAGCATTTCAGTGACAGGAGCTGGAACAGGGGAAGAGCAGAGCCCTCGCTCTTCTAGGTTTTCCCCTGAATCACCACACACCTGATCCCAACATCTGTTTGTTTTAAAAGGTGGGGGTGGGGGGTCATTACTACCATCCGGTGGCCACAACCTGAACTTCTGCTTCTGTAATTTCCCACGTGAAGAGGTGGTCCAAACAGCAGCTCACTACAGGTTTCTACGAAAGAATGCTTGAGTACATGGGTGAAGGCTGTTCCTCTCCGCCTAATTCAAAGTGCAAAGCTGCTCTGGAACTTGCATCCCACATCAATCTTGTTTTTTAACGGAGGCTTTTGCTCTGGGCAGCACCTCCTTTACTCAAGGTTAACACGTGCGACTGTTTCTCTTGCTTTTCACATGCTCTGAGCACCTTGTACGCGTGTGCCCGGAGATGCCTGATTCACACAGGCTACTGTTTATTCTGTGGTGGGAAGAGCAAACTGTGTCTGGTATGAAGGCAGGACCTAGGTTTGTATCAGTGTGCAGTAAGGTTCTGTTACAAAATTTCCTGTGTAGCGGCCACGAAAAGCCCTCCTCTCTCTCTGCAGAGGTTCCTGGAATGCTACTTTTTACCAACCTCCCATCCAGTGCAGAGAAGCCAGAACAGAATCTACCGTGAAACCGCAGTTCACCAAACGAGGATGAGGGAGGGCATTCTTGCCTGTTTGAGACCACCCTCCTTTGGGAATTTTCAGAGGCAGAGATCAGGTTGTGGCCATCAGATGGCAGTAACAATTCCTCAACTTCTAGTCTTAATTAAACCCAACAGCTATTGGAATCAGGTGACAGGTTATCTGAGACTTGTGTGATTAGCCAGATGTAGTCCAGTTATGGTTGAAGCATGTTAGGGTGAGCATTTAGTGTCAATTAATTACTGTTCTAAATTATTTACCTACAGCAGATCCTCTGAGCCTTAGGAAAACCTGCCGAGGTCAGTAGTAATGATCCACTTACCAGTGATGAGGTTCAGAGATGTCAACACATTTTCTTTCTTCTTTTGTTTTAAACTGTGTATTGAGATATAATTTATATATGAATTTATATATCATATAATTATATATGATATCATTTATATATGATATCATTTATAAACATGGGACACATTTAATGTATACAATTTGATGAGTTCGGACATATGCATTTACCTGTGAAACAATGACCACAACCAAAATAAGAGAAATACTCATCACCTCCCAGAGTTTACCTGTGCACAGTACCGGTAACTACAGGCGCTACGTTGTACAGCAGATCTCTAGAACTCATTCATCTTGCATAACTGAAACTTTATATCCCCATTTCCTCTCCCTCAAACCCCTGACAACCACCACTCCATTCTCTGCTTCTCTGAATTTGCCTATTTTCGATACTTCCTAGAAGTGGAATCAGGAAGCATTTGTCTTTCTGTGACTGACTTATTCCACTTAGCATAATGCCTTACAAGAAATGCTTGAGAGAGTTCTTCAAGTTGAAACGAAAGGATGGTAAAGAACGACATGAAAGCATACGGGAGCATAAAACTCACCGGTAAAGGCAGATAAAGAGAGAAATACAGAATACCGTAACAGGGCAATGGTGGTGTGTAAATCACTTTGAATTTGAGTCTGAAAGTAAAAGACACAATTATTAAGGATAACTGTAGTATCCACTATTTGTTAATGGATACATAAGATCAGAAGATATAAGTCGCCACACGAAGAGCGTGAAGTGTTGGGGGTGAAATCGTAGCGTTTGGTTATGGGATTAAAGTTAAACTGTTGTCAACTTATAATAGACTGTTACCACATGGTGATATTTCATGACCCCGCTTTCTAGAGAGCAGATCCAGCTCTTGCTTGGAGACAAGATCTGAATCTCATCTTCCTGTCTGTAGAGCAGGGGTCCCCAACCCCCGGGCTGTGGACCGTACGGTCCTCGGCCTGTTAGGAGCTGGGCCGCACAGCAGAAGGTGAGTGGAGGGCGAGCGAGTGAGCCAAGCTTCATCTGCTGCTCCCCATTTCTCGCATTACCGCCTGAACCATCCCCCCTCCCTGCGCCTGTCCATGGAAAAATTACCTTCCACGAAACCGGTCCCTGGTGCCAAAAAGGTTAGGAACCGCTGCTCTAGAGCATCTGGGGTTTTTTTTTTTTTTTTTTTTTTTTTAAAAATTGAAGTATAGCTGACTTACCATGTTGTGCTAGTTTCAGGTGTACAACAAAGAGATTCAGATTTATATATTCTTTTCCTTTATAGATTATTACAAAATACTGAGTAGAGTTCCCTGTGCTATACTGTAGGTCCTTGTTGGTTATCTATTTTGTATATAGTAGTGTGTATATGTTAATCTCAGACTCCCGATTAATCCCTCTCTCCTCCACCCCCACCCTTTTCCCTTTGGTAACCATAAGTTTGTTTTCTGTGTTTGTGGGTCTGTTTCTGTTTTTAACAGTACACTCCAAATCCCCAACCTGCCCCCCACCCCACAAAAATATATATAGTGAGGGATAAAATGTGGATTGGAGTTAAGTATTGAGTCGTCCACCAGGTCTGGGGCTCCTGTCTTATATGTCTCTGCCTCCTGAGGCCCCTTTATTTTTTTTTATTCAGGACATAGTTTGACCTGGCTTTAGATGTGGCTGGATTTCAGGGTGCGTATGATGGAAGGGCCTCTCTCTCTCCTCGCTTTTTTGGTGTTGTTGTTGATTTGATTCAGCCTGGTTTTTGTTCTCAGATTCATACAGGTAGGAGCTGTGATGCCCACTTTGCAAATGAAGACACTGAGGCCTGCAGAGGTTAGGTAAGTTTCCTTTAGAAACTGGAGTCTGGGCACATCTCACTGCCTCATGAGGTCCGGACCCTTGCAGCTGCGCATCTAGCTCAACGTTCCCTGGGGAACGTTGGTAGCGCGCCCTCTGCTGCTCATCCAGGGAATTACCGGGATCACTGCCTGATCAGGTCTCCACTGCCCTGATCATCTTTTTTTTTTTTTTGGCAGCGCTGTGCTTAGTTCCCCCGCCGGGGATTGAACCCACCACGGCAGTGAAAGCACTGAGTCCTAACCACTGGATCTCCAGGGAATACCCCAACTTTTTCAATTCATATTTTTTCACTATCAACTTCTTCCTGATGCCTAGTTCCCACCCTATCACTCAGGGGCTAATCTATCTCAAGATTTATAGTCTCACTACATAGGTATGATAAATAGGAAATAATAATATTATTATTACTGTTATTATTAACAGTGCTATTGGTTTTTTAAAAATTTTATTTATTTATTTATTTTTGGCTGCGTTGGGTCTTCGTTGCTGCGCGCAGGCTTTCTCTAGTTGTGGCGAGCAGGGGCTACTCTTCGTTGCGGTGCGCGGGCTTCTCATTGCGGTGGCTTCTCTTGTTGCTCTAGGCACGCGGGCTCAGTAGTTGTAGCTCGCGGGCTCTAGAGTGCAGGCTCAGTAGTTGTGACGCACGGGTTGAGTTGCTCCGCGGCATGTGGGTATCTTCCGGGACCAGGGCTCAAACCCGTGTCCCCTGCATTGGCAGGCAGATTCTTAACCACTGCGCCACCAGGGAAGCCCCGCTACTGTTAATCTTATTACTATTTTCCCATTCCACTCCCTTCTTCTCTGGAAGCTGATAGGGGACCCTGCCATTTACCCTCTCTGTCCAATTCTTACTGTACCCCCATGAGGATGTAGACCAAGAACGGGATTGCCGCGTTTCACAACTCCATGGCTCCCCCTGGTGGTCGGATGCACTTGGGGTGATGGGGTTTGCCCAGGCAGGTCCACAAGGATGGGGGCTGGGGGCTATTAGGACTCCACCTTGTTTAGAGTTCCACAAAGATTCCAGGTTAATATTCCTTGCGCTCTCCAGGCCTGATACATAGGTGGGAGTGGAAGCTTATTAACGTCCGTGCTGGCTGCTCCAGGCAGGACTTTGCCGTGGGCGGGGCTGTGACGTTTTGCTCTTCCGATAAGAAAGAACAAAGCTGGGCTCCGGAAAGCGATTAAGGGCTCTTCTAGACTGCTCCCCTGGCTGCCCCCTGCTCCCAGGTGAGCACTGGGGCTGGCTAAGGGGAGCTATACCTGGTATTAGCATGTGTTTCCGGAGGGAATCAATTCCGCAACATCGGTCAGACTTCTCTGATTCCGGATGTTCAGGGGCTGATGATGTGGGAAACCTCACGCTCCTGACTAGGGTTCAGACAAGATGCTCCATGTGATAGGGAATCAAGCATGCAATGGGCCAGGGCCAGCTCCGGCGTCTGCTTGAAGGCAGGAGAGTGAGTCTCTGGAGGCTGGGAGGTGTTGCAAGCCTGCAATCACCTCCCGAGGGTCTCACTGCATTAAACTCTCAGGTTCGTGCGATGAACCGGAACT